GAATATAAATAATAGGTCAGATTATTAAACAAATGATTATATTTTTGACAGAATAGAACATACGAAATAGAATAATATATTTTCTTATCATTATTAATTTATACGACACAAAATATTCATACTGATGTTAAGTCAATCTTAATTATGAATTGGTAAATAATCATTTTGATTCATATAACATTTTAGAAAGTATTATTTTATTTTCTCTTTTCCACCTACACATATTGACTAATGTATCAAGGACTGCTTTCTTTTTTTTCTTCTTCTTCTTCTTTCTCTAAGATAAGACATTTCATTCTATATATAGAGACTCATATATATTCTTTTAACATTACAGGTATTTGTTACTATTTATTATATTATTCATTCAAGTCAAATATTCATTTTCAACGTGTAAAATGTCGAAAAAATTCGAAGCATCTTCATCAACATATTTACGCTTAAAAAACGAACGTGGTCATTGGCATAATCAAGCACATAATCCTGCTATTGATAATTATGAAGGCGAACGTCATCAAGCAATGAATGAATTACAAAAACATCTTGGACAATCTGGAACATCCACGGATGAAATCAAATGTTTAATGGGTGAACCAACACAAATTTTAAATGAACCTGATTTAGTTCTTCAACATGAATTTAATCGTGAAAATTATACATTTCCTGCTGGCGCTAAAATTTGGATATATGAATGGCGTGGTAATCACGATTATGTATATTTTGTCATATCAAAAGATAATAAAGTTATTCAATCCGATTGGTATAATGCATTGGAATAAAACTTTTGGATATAAATATATATTTTCTTATAAACATTTGGTGTTTTTTTTTTTATGAAACTTGATTTTTTATCATACGAATAAACGAATATACGACAGCGAGAAAAATAAAAAGGAAGAGTAATACAAAAAAAACATAAAAATTTCTTAGATTTGTTTTCGATTTTGATGATTCATTTAATTCTTGTTGTTGAAAACTTGCTCGTCGACCATTATTAAATGATGGACGACGACTTGAATTAATACCATCAGCAATTGGTAAAGATTTTTGTACAGTTAATGTATTTCGCCTATACAAAAAAAGAAAATAAATGAAATTTAATAGATTTATTTCAAAATAATAAAAAAAGAAACCTCGACTTCTTTCGTTTAGATCTACGATGATGATATTCAGAATTTGATAGTGCACCCATTCACTCATCAATTTATCTTAATCAAATTGACTGGGATTTCTATTTTTGACATGTCATCAATAAGATAATAAGTTTCTTTTGTATCATTTGATTCTTCAAATGATAGAACTATATATATATAAGCCTCGAAAAAAAAAGAGAAACAAAAGAGAAAATAGAGAAATGGACACATGATGACGATCAATAGTGCTAATACTTGACACCGGCGGTCTATTCATCTAATAAATGAAAGATGCCTACGAGCCTGTAACTAATCGTATATCTTGCTCTTCATGTTTATTTACATGTCTTTTTCTCTCGTATTACTTACTATATTAAGAACATCCATACTATTTATCAGACTAACTGCTTTTGATAATATACTTCTCTTCTATATATACACTCGATAGAAAATGGAAATTTCTGATATATAAAACACGTAGCATCTACTGGGTTATAATCATTATCGCGCACGGTCTCTTTGTTGTTGGAATGTATCCTTAGAGAAAATACAAGTTGTTATAAGTTATCAATAATATTCAACAACAAGAGTAAGAATTATATCTAGATAAAATACCTACTTATTCAAAGTCGTCGTCGTCGTCGATGAATCCATCAATAAATTTCTACTGTCAAATCTAATTTTTTCTATCAAAATTGAGTATAATACTGTTTGTTATATATTTTCTGGAAAAAGAAAAAAAAATATATCAGACAAGAACGATGATAATGATTAATTTCATTGTTAAAAAATATACTGATAAAAAAAACCTGTTACATATTTATTCTCTTTTGTCATAAACTAACTGTAGAAAAAATAGTTTTTTTTATCTTTGTTTAGCATTAGAAAGAAAGATTCTTTCAATTTTTTTTCATTTTCGATTTCTTCTCTTGGGGCATGCACATATGGTGATCAAAGGACAGGCGTAATTCGAGATGCAATACAAAGTAAGGGAAAAAGAAAGAAGAGAAACGTGAGGATGTGACGGTAAAATACGCACATTGTATATGATCATGTGTATATTATAGACATACATATATATATATATATATAAACAAGAAGGGCAGAGACTAAAGAAATGAAGATAACAAAATGTAAAGAGTATTTATTGCGCAGCCATTAATGATATTACTGAAAACGATTTTATAATATAAAATGGAGAAGAGAAAATGATTAATTCATTGACTTTCTTTTCTTTTTTTTTATTACCCAATGTGCAACTTTATAGAACCTTGCCGCAAAAAAAAGAAAGAACAAAACCATAAAAACGACATTCTAATATACAACAACAAAAAAAAAACTCTTATCTAGTAATCGATTATTAGTTTTTTGGTATGAAAATATTTCTCAAGAGAAACAATCAGAAATGAGAGAATATTAAAAATAATCTTTTTTGACGATGACGATGACGACGACGTACCTTACCTTTGTAAAACTTTTTTTTCATCTTCATCATGGTAAATTGAATTTTGAGATTGTAAATGACTATATACACACATTGAACTTCGACGTTGTGGTATTGATGGTAATGTATTACAATGATTGATCGATTGAGCTAATTCATGTGTTGTTGGAGTAAGTGTTCGTCTTCCATATCGCATTACTTGAAACGATCGCATTTTTTTGTTATATACTAAAATAAATTATATATAAAACATGAAATCTTGCTCATATTCTAATAAGAAATCTATAAAAAGAATAGGAACTAAGTCGTCCGAAGAGTGACTATGTTGGCTCATTGTTTTTCTTGCCTCTACTGTCATTTTTATAGGTGTAGAGAAAAAGAGAAAAAAAAATAGTCTTAACCTAACGTTCAATAAAGAGTGTGGGGAAAAACAGGAAAAAATAATATCTATACCGGATAGTAAATTACTAGTTGTGAAATTTATTATGACATATTTACGATTTGTTATAAAGAGAAAATGAAATATAATTGATTAAGATTTATTGTAATATCAAACTCTTCTATTGAGAAATTACTAATTCACATCTTTTGTTTTATTACATTACTGGATTATTTCACACGGTTATATATTTATGCGTACATTCTTTATTAGAATTTTGTATCATTTTTTCTTTTGTTCATTTTCACAATTATTTATTACTTGTAAAAAATGTAATCACGACATTTATCCTTAATAAAAACTCATGTTGTTTATGAAATGGGATTTTCCATAATTATTTGTTAAATTTCATTTGATTGAAGAAAATTTCAATATCTTAGTAATATAGAAAAGTACTTGAAAATTCAATAATGATATTTTGTAAATACAATCAAAGGAAATGTTGCTATTAATAGAAACTTATATTCTATAGAATTTTCCTTAAGTTGCGTGTGAATGAATATGTGAATAAGTTCTAAAATGTCATTATTGTGTCGTTTTTTCTCGACTAATTGAAGTCGGTAGACACAAGATATGACGATACTTGATAATATTCTTTTTTTGGAACTGGTGTAAAAACTAATTGAAAAATTCTAATATTTTGTCTTTTTTTCAAATGAATAGAAATCCGTATAACAAATTTTTAGTTATTTCAAAAACAATATTCACTTATTATCGAATATTGTACTCATAAGACATAATCGCATACGATCTAATGCATATTTAATATGACTAAGTAATATTGACAATCGATTGATTTTATATTACAAGAAATTCTTTCCATTAAATATTATTCATGTATTCAAAGAAAATAACTCTTTATGTACGTATGTGCAAAAACAATTGTTGACGAATAGAAAAGTTGATTAAGATTAAATTTTTTCCTCTCATTCTCACACGTAATATAAATATCAATCAATGAGAATTTACAAGAATGTCAAGACATAACTATAACTAATTGTAATCCATGATGAAAAAAAAAACGTCTTAGTGTAGTACGATTGGAAGATAAAAGAAAAATAAAACTTACGTATTTTTCATTAGCTTTATATAAAATAATTTATTTTTCAGAAGACGTAATTACTTTTCCAAGAATATCGATGTATTGTTAATTTATTTTTAGATTTCAAATACAGATGTTGCTTTCTTTTAGTCTCATTTTTTGTTCTATTAAAATGTTTTTGATTTATATAGTCGTGCGCGTATGTATTTGTCCTCCATAATTTGCGTGTTTTTATTTTTTTTTGCTGTAACTATGTCTATACTTCGTGTCGCAATGATGGAAAGAATGACGAACGGTTACAAACTCGTTCGAACATGATGATGAAATTTCATCATCGAATTGATACCATCTGTTTTCTAATCTTTAGTACGAGGTCTTATTTTCTAGTAGAAAAACCACATTAAAAAGCCATCTTGTTAGTGGGTGTGAATGAGTATAGATGCACTGTTTTTTTCCCGTATTTTTGTTTAAAATAGTAAAAGTAAATTGAAATAGACTAAAGTTAATTTTTTTGTATCTCTCAGTATATGTAACGTAAGCAAGGATGTCATACCAGAAATCTCTTGCCATTCAATAATTTGCTGTACATATTCATGCAATTATACTGGTAATATCGTGCTGAATTGAGAATGTAGATATATATGACAAATTCATTCTCAATATTCGAGTAAGAGCACCGAATAGTATGCAAAGGTCAATTGAGATAATAAAACGAATGATGAATGGTAACGATAGAAAAAATTTAAGTCCAACTTTATACAACCTAATTCGACATTTATAAACAATTTGAAAATCAAATGTAGCTTGGACCATATTTTATATTCTTAACTTTGTTGAAATGCTGTGATCTAGTCTTTATTTTTTCAAAGGAACAATACGTAGCGAGATTTTAATTCGGTATGAAGCACAACATTTACGTACTTCTTTCCGTCTATCTTATTCAACTATGCATATCAAGAGTTGTCATTGTGTCTTATTTTTATCTCATCAGTAGAAAGATATAAACCTCGACTATGTTTTTCAAGATTCTAAATAAGAGATTGAATTCATTTATAGAAAATTCATGTGAACTTTGTTTTTTTTCATATTTTAAGACGATTAAACAAGAACAATTAGAAAAGTTGCGTACCTTTCTCTTTTTACACATGTTTTATAACTAGAACCAAAGTTGATGATATGCAATGAATCAAAATAGATAATCAATTATCAACGTTTTTTTGGACATATGCTATTCAACATTGATAAGATTTTTTTAGCAACAGAAAAATAATAGTATCTTCTTTTCGACTAACAAAAAAAATGTATCACTATCGACGAATTGTTGATTTTTTAAACTGCTGGTATCTCGATAATGGACTTTTATCACAGCTTCGCATCGCATTTGACAGTTCAGTGAAAGTCGAATACCATATATATATATTTATTCCTTTTACTCTTCTATTAATAAATTTATCTGATACATATATTTATTATATCTATATGCTGTTTTTGTATCTAAATAATGTCAGAACCATTGATATTGATTACCCTTGAAAGTTATTCCATGTTTCATAGAAAATAATAAAACGCATCGTATCTTGCACTATAGACCAAAATTTTCTCTAACTAAATCAAAGGTCAAACTTCATCTAGAGAGTAAAGTTATTATTATACATTCTATTGTATGTGATTATAGTTTTAAAAGAAGTTTATCTTGAATATATATGTAATGCACACGACAACAATTACATTTTTATTAATAGCGAGAATGAAATATATATAAATATATGTATATATTGGCAAGAGAGAGAGAGAGGCAGTCTTTTTAATATCATCATGTGATAAAGAAATTTGAAATGAAACACAAGACAACATAAATAAATAAATTGTTTAAAACAAAAAGAAGAAGAAAAGTACGTTCATTCGCTTTCATTTATCAATATCCAAACCAATTGAAAGCTAAAACTCCACTTGATGATGATGTCCAAACTCCTTTAACTGAAGCTGCCCATGGTCCACTACCTCCTTGTAATGCCGTATAACCTGACGCACCGCTCGTTAATGGATATGAAGTACTTGATGTGCAAACTTTTAAACTTGCACTACATTGAGCTGTCATCTAAATTAAATCAAACATTTTTTCTTCTAAATAGTTAATTAAATAAATTCTTACATTCGAATATTCAGTATTATCAGTTATTAACCATGTTAAACCACGATCATCACTACGTACAATTGAGACACCATCTTGTGCATAGCCATATAATGATTGAATTTGTTGATTCGAATCAAATACAAATAAATTAATATTTGCGACTGTTGTATTCAAAGCTAAATTAAAAAAGTAAAACATAAAAATGAATTAAATATATTTAAATAACTAACCAGTCCATGTTGCTGATGATGATGTAATACCATTAAAAAGAACATAACATAAAATTGCAGTTCTAAATAAAAATATTTAATAAAACCAAAAACAAATAATTTCATTTACCTTGTTGTTGTTTCATCACAAACATAAACATCATTTGCATAAGTAAGACCTGTTTGTGCTGCTGGTGCAACAAGTACTGTTCGTGGTAAAAGCATACTCGATACACTAGGACAAGTACCTGAAAAAGGAAATCTAGTATCTTTTTTAAATCAAAAAAAAATGTAATCTCTTACTTGCAAGAGTAGTATTTGTTGAATTAGCTATACCAGTTATATTCAAAGTAAAACCGGATGTTTTTGTTAATAAATCATTTGGTTGTACGACATCAATTATATAAATACGTAAATAACGAATTGAAAGAGTACCTGTTAATGGAAATGTATATGATGAACTACCATTAACTGCATACATTGTTGGATCCATAGCAAAACTTGTTCCATCCCAACTATAACCAAGTTGTACAGTAAGAATTGGTGCAAATGCTGCAGGAACAGTTAATTGTATACTATTTATAATTGTTAAATTGCCAAAATTAATTTGAACATATGTTGCACCAGATAACATCCATGAATCCGATCGATATCCTGTTTGCCAACCAGCTATTCAAAAGAAATTTATTTTATTAACTAATAAGAAAAAAATTTCATGTTTTTACTTGTTTGAACTAATGATGCATCAGATCCTGAAACACTTGTTGTAAATTGACATGAATTTAATCCACCGAGTAATGATGGATAGCTTGAAGCTATTAGAAAAAAATTTGAAGAGAAAAGTAAACTTAATTTATTATATACCTGATGTCATGACTGTTGAAAGCGAGATAATATCTGGAAAAGTAAATATTTTTGATGTAGGATAATATGCAACATTTGCTCTTGAAATGAAAAAGAAATGATCAATCTATTTAATAAAATTAATTTTTATTTACCTTGGTCGTTTCATGCACATGAATTCATAAGGAATTGTAACACTTGGTGCATTATATCGTTGATAAACTAAAGCCATTTGATTTGATGTACCAATATTAAGACTAAATGTTAATACACCAGCATCGTTAAATAAAAGTGTACCCAACTAAAAATAAAATCGAAGTAAAAACAAATAATGAAATTTAAAAGTGATATTTACATTAAAAATAATATATGTCGCATTATCAGTCGTATAATTTGTTCCTAAAGTACTTGAATTATAACTTTGATATGATACCCAAGTTGGTATATAGATTATTATTTGTGCATTAATACATTCAGCATTTGAATTATTCGCATGACTATATTGAATTACACCGCTATAGGTTGATCTATATTAATAAAATAATTTAGAAATAAATATATATAGACAAAATATTTTTTTCTCATTTTACCCCATTCCATAATTTCCACTAGTTATATCAGTATGATTAACTAACATAACTGGTTTTTCAGTTCCATTTCTTGCAACAATTTGAGAATATGTTTTTGATATATTATTTCCGGCATACATAGCATTCAAACCAACGGTAAATGTAGTATTTTGTTCTGCGGCTGGACAATCTGTTAAATAACCAGTTGCTTGAACATATATAAAATTATCAGTTAAATTTGAAAAGTTATTTTGCATAAGCGATACTCCTTAAAGAAAGAAATTCAAAATGAAATATTATATTTATTTTTTTTATTTTACCTGTATTTGTAATAACACCTAAATCAAGATATGCTGTATCGGTATATGATGAACCTACACTTGATGAATAAGTCCATTGATATTTATTTCCAAGTGCATATTCATACATAAATGATCCAACATTAATACCAGCAGAAAGAATAGTTGCTGATTGAATATCAACTGTAACACTATTTGATATTGCTATACTAGATATTGTTATTTGTAAACGTCCTTGAGAATCTGTTGGTAAATATATTTTGAAACCATATGTAACCATTTGACGTATACCATCTACCATAGTTGAATTTCCTGCCGTTATAAGTACGTTTGATGTATCATTTGACTAAAAATAAATTAGTAAATATTTTGTTCTTTTTTTTATTTTAAGTCTTACAAATGATGTAAAACCAGTATAAGCTGTATAATTTTTGACTGTTAATGGAACAGTTGTATTTGAAGTCGATTGATTATTATTCACTAATGCTCCGACAGTAACAGATAATTGATTATTGACTGGAACTGTTGTTGTTACTGGTATACGAATATTTGCTTGGATAATTAACTAAAAAATTTATAGATGTTTTCATTTTTATTTGTATAAAAAAATTATTAATTTACAGTGCTTGCTGTTATATTTGTAGGATCAATTGGATAATAACAAAGTGTACCAAGATCAAGATACATTGAAGCATTGTATAAAGTTGAACCACCGCTATTTAAAAAAAAATATTTGAATAATTTTATATATTAATAAAACAAATTGTATATTTACCTGCTAAGAAATGGTGTTGCTTTAGTTTTCATACACATTAAATTATCGCCAGAACTTACAACAAATGCAGTAGTAAAATAAGCTGCATTAATTGTTGATGCAGTTATACCAAATTGAAATGATATAAGATAACATGTTTGACCTGTTAAATTTTGAGCAAGTACAAATTGTGTACGAATAGCTACATCTTGACCGAGATAAGCTATTGTGCCGTTATTTGTATCATTTGTTTGTTGATAAGTTGTTGAATTTAATGGATTTATAGATAAGATCTAAATGAATAGAATAAAAATTATCCGTGTTTTATCTAGTGGATGGATTGGGCCGGCGGCGCTCACTCAAAAAACGAGACTTAGATAAAGCGGCGATGGGCGGCGCCCGCCCAAAAATAGAAACCTGAGTAAAATACTGCAAAAAATTCAAACTAAAAAATTTCTATTTACATTTCCATATGCATTTGTTGAGCCACCACTAAGGGATGATGCTACTGATGCCAATGCTGATTGACCTGATGGTACTAAATTTGATAAAACTAAATTAAATGGTGAACTTGATTGTGTTGTTGCAAGAAGATAAACTTGAACAAATAATGTATTTGGATCAGCAGATGCTGTTGAATTTAATGTCGAAGAATTTGCTAATATTATATTCAATAATTATTTGATGAATAAATTTCAATGTATAATACTTACAACCCACATTACAAATTAATCCAAGATTTGTTACTGCTGTTGATGATAATCCATTGGAATTATATGTAAATACTGATGATACATCATTTGAACATGGTACATTACTACCACGATTTGTTGATATATCAACTCGACATACACTTGTTTGTTGATTAGTTTCACTGGTAACTAAATAATAAATATAAGTAAGATAGAAAAAGAAGAAGAAGATTAATATTCTTACTAGCACTATTTAATGACGAATAAATTCCAACAGACGATGGTGGAATTTTTAAACCAAAATTAACGATTGTTAAACCATTTCTAGTAAATGTTTGTGTACTTGAATTAATTGCATACATTAAAGGTGTTCCCTAAATATACATGATAAATAGTTTATCTTTGTTTTAATAAATAAATAAGATTAAACTTACAAGAACATTTGGTACGGAAACTACTTGAACGCCAGTAAAAAGAACTTGTCCAATCCAAAGATTATCTGGAGAGTAATAAACATCAAGATTAATATAAGTTGATTGTCCATCACCTAATGCTGCTTCAATTTTAACATATATACCAACACGAATTCGACCAAGATTAGGATTAGATTGAGTTGATTGATAATTACATAACGGACCTAATTGTACATAAGCAGTATCATTTTTACGTTGACTATATCTGTAAGAAAAAATGAAAGAATTAATTTTGTTTTTTTTCTTAAATTAATTGATTAAAAATATTAACCTTGATGCATATGTTATAAATGGTGATTGATTTTGATTATAAAGTGTTGGAATTAAACATGGAGTATTTTGTCCAACATATAAAATTTGAACTGCACAAATACTTGCAGCTGCTATACCACTACCAGGAGTTGTTTCATTTGTTGTTATACTTAATGTCATTGGTGTATAAATACCATTTGGTTGTGTATAGATATCATAGTAAAATAAGCGTGTATATCCTAAAAATGTCGACGAATAATTACTTGTACTATTATTTTCATAGGACAATGCAAAAGTTGGTCGAGTAGCAGTCTAAAAAAAATAAGATTTTTTTTTAATAATACGGAAAAATAAATGAAATCTTTTACTGTAGAATTATAACTTATTGGTGTAACATTAACAGCAGCATTACCAAGCCATATTGTATTATTTCCAAGTGTCATAGCAACAGTTGGCCAAATTATAGTTTGTGTTGTATTTAATACTTGAAAAACTGCATTAAAACTAAAAAAGAAAAATAGAAAATCAAAAACAAAACTCAATACAATTTTTCTTTACTTACACAAGTGTATTTACTGAATCGTCATAAATTGTTGAACGTGAACCCATATTTTGTATAACACCATAATCGTATGATAATTGATCATAAGTTGTTGAATTTGTACTTGATGTATAAGTCATTCTTGATGCACTTGTATCAGCACATTGAGGATTTGAACTTCCAACATTTTCTCCAGCTGATTGAAATACAACTGCACAAGTGGATAAAGCTGATACAGTATTATTTCCTGCACCATTTAATTCAATAACGACAGGAGCCATAAAACCACTTGGAATAGTCATTGTTATTGTCATTGATACTGCTTGATAAATTCCGGCATTTTGTTGTTGTTGTGTAATTGTAAATGTTGGTAATGATGAACTATTCTATAATTTATAGAAAAAAATTTACTTTTTAGTAAATTAAAAAGAAATTTACATACAATAGCATAGGATGCCGCGGCTGCCGTTGCATAAATAGTATAAGCTTGTGATATTGTTGAATTAGTGGATGCTACTTGAGCAGTAAATGTACCAGCAGTATATGAACTAACACTATCAGTTTTAAATACACGTCCATAGACAACAATATAAAGAGTTGATGCTGAACCACTGTATGATTCTATTGATAAGAAAATAGAATTATAAATTTTGAAAGAAGAAAAAAAAAGATAATGAGCATACGTGAATTGACGACTTGACCCAGGTTAATACTTATTTGATTACTAGCCGGTGCTGTTGTTAAACTTACTGATATTTCATAGCCTAATGTTGGTAAATGTTGAAAGCCTGCAGTTGCACTCTTTAAAAATAAAACAAGTCATGGAAAATTATATTCTTTTCCACAAAATAATTTACTTGAACATATGCTGAACAAAGTCCAATGTTTGCCGGATTATTATTTGTAATTGTAAAGACAAAATTTGATGCATATGTACTATTATAAATAACTGGTACGGCTAATTGAAATGGTGAACCTTGTGGAATTTGTAAACTTGAATTACTAACAGCACCTAATGTAAATGCTCCCATTCCACCCTAAATAAAATAAAACAACAATGATTGAGTTTTAAAATTAATCTTTCACGAACACTCGATGCATTGGAAAAAATAAATAATGCTTGACCAATCCAGATTTCTGAAACATTATTATATTCGATACCAACAGTAACCCACTAAAAAAATAAAAATAATAAAATATTTTTTTTCCTGAAAATTTTTTTTCTGTTATTTACATATTGAGAGCCACCTATTTGATCGCTTGGATTACTAATAACAACACTACGGAAACCAATTTGAATTGTACTTTGTGTATCATTAGTTGATGACACAAGATTATTGTTGACAACTGTTCCAAAATCAATTTGAGCATCATTAAACTAAAAAATATTTTTGAAAAAAAAACAATTCTTTTTTTCTCTTTTCTTATATATTTATACTTGTGATGAATTTGATTGTGACGTCATTGTAATTGTTGGATCATAAATACCTGCTGAATTAGCAAAATTTCCACCAACATATGTTACCGAAGGTTTTGACATTTGCATAACAACAGTAGCATTATCCGGCATTATAATTTCAACATTAAGATCAGTTGATGCACTTGAACCACCATTTGTCGGAATCGTTATTACCAAAATATAATCACAATAATCACCTATATAGAAAATTGATTAAATGAAAAAAAACAATATTTTTTTTTAATTTTACTTACCAACTCGTACTAGAATTGATGAATTACATCCACCTTGTTTAATGTAGTCAATACTAACATTAGCATTGGATGCGTATGTAGTTGGAATAACTAAAAGAAAATAATCAATTTAAGTTATTGCTTTATTTAAGTGACAGAGTAAATTAGAAGAAAATTTTCATCTTTTAATTGTCTGAGTGTAACATTCAAAAAGGACGTTCAGTAAGATGTAACTGAATATATATCGATACTTTTTCATGAAAATCTATACTTGTATTATCTAAGATAATATCCTGTAATACATATACAGGGGTAGCGCGAGGGAGACAACATTGGGGAGTGTAGCAAAGTTTTTTTAAAATAAAAAGATGAATTACGCGATTTTTTTAGGGGCGTAACATTATGTTTGGTAAGAAACCTAAGAAGATTTGCCGGTTGTGTTGAGGAAATAATAGAAATTCCGAAAGATTGGGGGGAGGGAATGTTATACTACCGACACCCCCTCGGTTGCGCCACTCCTGCACATACATCTTTATCTATCACGATTTCATAGACCAAGATTTGCTATAATGGAACTTTCGTATGGTCACCAATATTCTGTATTCAACGCTCTTGAAAAATTCTATAACATATCTACTACTATCCTTCAAATAAGCACGATTAGTCTTTCAAAGAAAAACTTCATATCTCTACACTAACATTCTTTTAACAAATTCATTGTACTTTAATAAGTATTTCTTCTACTATCAAACCAAAACGAAAACAAATCTTCCTAATATTTATCATTGTCAGTCTTTAAAGATAAATCAATATTATTACTTACTTGTACTAACTGTGATAATAATCGCAGTTACTATTAACACATAAAATTGCAATTCCATCTTACTGCCAACACTTCGCTCGCCTAAATGAAGTTTTAAAAAAAAAAAACTAAGAAAATATTTTTTTTCTTTTTGTTATTTGATAATTATTTTTTAGAAAAAACATATATGTAAGTAAAAAATATAAAGAGAAAAAAGAAAAAAAGACCTGTTGACGCACCATCTTCTACTTCAATTTTTGAACATTCTTTTTTTTTTCATTTTATGATTGTTTTTTCTATGACGTCTTTCAATTATTTTCTTTGTCCTTTTTAACAGAAAATGTCTGTTTGTCGTTTTTCCTTTCTAGTTCAATTAAATACTTGAAACAAAAAAAAGAAATTTCTAATTTAGTGATAGCTTTTTTCTATATCATTACAAGAAAAACACTAAAACAAATAGCAAAAAAATAGAAAGCAGCCAACTTCAACCTACATGATATTCTGAGAACTCTAACAACATAATGGATGCATCAAATGTTATTTTTTCTTTTTACTTAAATTATTTTTAAAGTAAAAAATACTTTTAAATAACAGGAAAAATATTAAACACTTATATAAGGAAAAAGTATTGTATTGAATTAAAAATAGAATATTATTTCTCGTGAAGATCTCGTCAATAGATAATTATTATATTCAATCAGTTTGATTATTTGCTTGAAAAGGAAGATATATTTTCAGGTTATTGAAAATAGGACAAAGAGTATAACATCAGTAAATCAAAATACTACTACGCAGATCTTATGTTAATTAAAAAACTTAATTACTAAAATTTATGATTTATTCATTACTGTTTGTGTGATTGCTGAGGATCCTACAAAAAGATCAAAAAATATTCTATTGAAATTCTTGGAAAGTTTTTCTAACATCCAAAAAATATGTTTATCTAATAAAATGTGAATAGTGTATTATAATCAATAATATATTTAAAAATAGCTATCCAATAAAGAATAACGGGGGTCTTGAAATCCAACTATCAGTCTATCCTAAAATCATTTGTTTATATCAAACGTAAACAATTGTTTCAATAGTAGCAGTTCGAATTAATTATTTAGAAGATTTCGATCGTGAAAAGCATTAACTACAGGTCGATTACATTATTTTTAATAGTCTTGCGTAATATTTTGTGTTTATGTGAAATACTAGGAGTTTATTATTTAGATATAGTTGGATAGAGCGTTGACTACTCTATCAAATCATATTGTCTGCATTCTGTGTCCTTCGGTTTCCATTTAAAAAAATTTCGAAATCTCAAACAACACTAAAAAATACCAGAAGATGCAGCGTGAAAAGCTTCACAATCTACATGCAACCATTTTTTTTCTACTTTTAGTTTATGTTCTAAAAAAATTGACAACACCTTAAGCAGCCAAATTTCTATTCCTGTAAAAGAAAAAAATTTTTTTTCAATGGAAAAGATCGGTTGCACTGAACTGTTCTTTGTCTAGAAAACAAAAGAATGCACAATAAATATACGCTTCATCGTGCATATTGTTGAACTTTTGGCTCTGTATCTTTTGATATATTTTGTTTTTAATTAAACTTACGGTATAATACTTAAAACTTTTTCTTCATCGTCTGGGACTTACAAATTTTCTGGGCTAACACTCAAGGACATAATATATAAACTATATAATTCGATAGAGTAACCGATGTTCTATCCAACGGTATTAAAATAAGAAAACTCCAGTATTCCAGATAAATACAATAAATTACGGAAAACTATTAAACATAACGTAGTCAATCTGTATAGTGTGCTTCTAAAGTTACATCGAACTTTTTTAATAATAAATGTTTTTTTTAATTTATTTTATTGTGTTATGTCTGATACTTTGTACTTTTTTCCTAAGATCATAGATGTCAAAAAGAATAAAACTTCAAATATTACAATACATATATTGATTTATAGAAATGGAAAAAAGAAAATTGAATTTGAAATTTAAAAAAAACATTGAGAACAAATAGAATTGAATACGACACATCTCTGCGTAGGTTTTCTTTTTTACTTTTTCTTCAATACAAATTAAATATAGATAGAAAAATATTTTACACTGGAAGATTTTTAGGAGTATACCACTACGGAGATACGTGAGACATTACGCTCTCCACCTTATAGACAAAGTTGTTTCCGCAACTTCTCTCCGGAAAGTGTTGTTTGTTTTTTTTGAACCTAAAAAAAAAAGGACTTTCCTAAGTAAATTTAGCCGCTGAATCGATGTAAATAAATACAATGCACGTTCTCTTATGTAGTTCAAATACTATATCTATTTCTTCTGTGCATTTGTAAAAGAAAACAATTCTTACCATATACTTAAATTTCAACTATAATTATATTTTATCATGATATCAGAAAATACAAAATGCTAAACGTCTATATTTTGTACTTAAAATACGAAACAATATTTTTTTATATAACGTTAGAGCGATCATCTTAAGATTTAATTCAATCGTATTTAAAATTAAGACTGAGTAACTCTTTGAAGGTAGAAAGAAATGTAAAGTTAAGATCATTCGAAATACAAGAATAAAAACGATTGAACTCTGAAGATTATATGTACTTTCAATGCTATAATTAGATACGGTTAATTTACCGGCATTTTATAATAAGAATTTTTCTTAAAATATTCCCGTGATCAACTTTTTTTTTTATGAAAAAAAATGACAATAATATTATGACTGAAATAATACTTGATCATAAAAAATTTATTGTTTATGAAGACAACAACAACAACAACAACAGATAAAACTAAATAAAATATAATACTGCATTGACTTGATTTTTTCATATTATTATTAAATCTGACATTACAAAACAATATAAAACAAAAATAAATCATAGATATATATATCTATTATTTAATTATCATCGAATGGTGGTAAACCAAATTCCATTGGATCAAATTTTAAAAGACTATCTAATGTACGTGAAACATGTTTAATAATCCATGTATCGTATGTACTTAATGGTAAACTTGGTACAAGTACAACTTTCATTCCAGCCGTAAGTGCAGCTCGAACACCATTTTCTCCATCTTCAAATACTAAACATTGACTCATTGATAAAGGTGGATTAGGAAATTTTTCTGCACATGCAAGAAATATATCTGGTTCAGGTTTTGTTAAACGTATTTCATTTGCATCTGTACACATAACTGGATCAAATAATTTAAATAATTCAGGATAACCACTTGTTTTCAATGTAAATAATTCATGTGATGAACCTGTCGCAATTCCTAGAATACATTTTTATAGTTTTGAAATAATCGAAATGAATTTTAGTTTTTTCTCTACCTATAGGAATATTATGAGTGGTTAAATGTGTTATAAGACGTTCAGCACCAGGTAAAAGTTCAGCTGATGGAAATGCTTGTGTATAAAGTTCATTAGCTTTTATTAAAAATTCTTCATCAGTCATTGGCAAATTTAATTCTCCTAAAATTTAAATTTTTCAATAGAAAATTATTTCAAAAAAAAAAGAATGTTTACATACGAATTAAAATTTGTCCAGCTTCTAATGACGATTTTCCCATCATTTCTGATTTTGTTTCTGTACTAAAATTTTTTCCATATGGCGCACATATTTGTTGTAAACATTCAGTATAAATTGATTCAGTATCCAATAATAAACCATCCAAATCGAATATACAATGTGTAACATTCATTTTTATCTAAAAGAAATCATTAAACCGATTTTTAAGCAATAGGATAGTAGGTTCATAGAGTATTAAATGGCAAATATAATGGAAAGCATCGGAGACATCTAAAGAATATTAAAATATTAGTTCGTTCTACTCTAGTCTTGCGATAGTTACTCAATGGCAATACATGAGAAAATACTTGTGAGCCAGCTGTTAGAAATTTCCATAAAAATGGAGTGAGATTTTTTCTTTTTCAGAAAAAGTATCTCAAGAAGAAAACAATTAACATACGTGCTCTTACCTATTTAATTATAAATTATTCTGAAAGAAAGAATTTTCTACGATCCAAATAAAATACTAGAATATTGTTGTTAGGATAATGTGTATATTTGGAAAAAAATAGCAGTCAATACTTTTCACAATTGTCATTCTGAAAAACAACAAACAGAGAATAAAATATTTCATAACGATAGTTTGTTCATGGCACAATATTGATTAAAAAAAAATGATACTAAAAAACCACAAGAAAAACAAATTGAGATTCATAAAAATTTGTCGATTAAAATTTGTTGAAAGACAAAAATATTTCGTTTAATTAAATACAACATCTAATACCATCATGATTGTAAACCCACCTGAAAAATAAATTCAATTTTTTTTGTCTTAACATTCTATTTTAAAAGACATACCCATTATCCACCAAGATGATTTTGTTCGATTTTGTCTATTAAAATAAATTGAATAAAACATTATTTTCTTTTTTTTTGGTCAACTTACGGACTGATTTCGGGAATAATTTCATTAAAAACAACAAATAACATTGCACCAGCAGCAAACGATAGTGCAAATGGTAGTAAAAAATTTGCTAATTGTACAAAAAACACGCCCAAGATTCCAGCTACGATTTCAACTAAACCACTTAATTGACCATACCTATCGAGAAAAAAAAGACAATAATAATTTTCATCATAGAAAAAACAATTATTAACAAACCAAAATGCTCTGAACGATCCGATACCAAATGATCGCAGTGGTAGACTTATTGCTAATCCTAAAAAACAATTCTTTTATTAATAAATAACATCACTCAACATAAAAATTATAATGTGTAACACGGAGAAGCTACTTCCTCAGAGAATAGAAGAAGGAAAATATCAATCTTTTATATGAAGGGAAATGCAATCTAGAAAATGTAAAAAAAAAAGGAATTCCAGCACTCTTATTCTATAAATCATTGTTCCTTGTTTTTTTCTCTCTCTTCTTTCTAACAAAAGAATTTTCTAGACCTTATTATAATAATACATATGACAGTAAATTTATTCATCTACAGTGATTGAATGACATGAAAAGTATTAGTTTTCGATTTCTTTTTTTAGAATAAGATTATTCACAAGATATTTTGACGTATGAAAGATTTAATTATAATCTATTCAATAATTTTTGGTTCTAACTTGACACATTTATTGATAAGAAAGAATGTTTTCCTAGTCAATATTTACTTTCTCATACGTAAATATTTGCTAGTTATTATTCATAGAACGGGAGTAGATAAACAAAATCTTATTAAAAACCGGACTTGATACATCCTATTGCATGTATAGATGAATTCACGCGATAAAAGAATGTTAATAAAGACACATTAATAATGCGTTATGATTTTTTTAATTTAGATAGAAAAAAGAGTTTTGTAATAAGTTATTTGACACTGTTAATATTTGTATAGAGAAAAATTATCATTTGTGTCGTTTAGGAACTAATTATTTTTGTCTCAATCATCCCAGCATGACAATATATAGTTTATTCTTCTGGGTACTTTTACCTTCAGGAAAATTTTGAATACCAATCCCAATTGCTAAATTTCTAAAAAGGAAAAAACAAAAATAAAAATTTCATTTTTCTCAAATATTTACCGTGCATGATTGAAAGATAATATTGGATTTTGTGATGTTGGTATTGATCCGAATCCAACTCCGACGGCTAAACCTTCTAGAAAAACAAAACTATTTTCAAAAACGAAAAATAAAATCTTGTAACCAGGAAAATTGTGTACAGTAACAGCGATAATAAGTAAAAGTAATCGACGCCATTTTGCTTGTTCATCATTATGATTTATTGGAAATTCTTTTACTTCTTCCATTGGACTATCACCAATAGGTTCATGAATTTTAATTTTAGCATCTCGATTTTGTTTTACACGCAAACGTATAGCTGGATTCATTTTTAAACTTGTCAATGTTCCTTGCTCAGGTTTTCTTTTGTATTCATCAGTTTTTTTATTTGAAATAAATTGAAAGACTTGTTTCGATGTTAATGATGGTAATAATAGATCAGTCATATGAACAAATAAACCACCAAATAAAAAACCAATAATAACCAACAGAAAATTTAAATGCTTATTGATGTAATGTTCTTCACGAGCTATTTTAAATGCGGGATCAAGTAAACTCCAAAATGAAGCTGCAGTCATTACCTAAAAATATATTGGAGATAAAAAAAACTCCTTAAAAAAAATATTCATACCCCAGCTCCAAATCCGAGACTATAATCAAGTAATTTTTGCTAGAAAAAAACAAACAATTATTCAAGTATAATTTAATTCAATAAAACGTACGTTTGCCGAACGAAATACAAATACTAGAGATGCACCAGCGGCTGTAACAAGCCATGTAAATCCAGTTCCTAAATAAAATAATAGAATTTTTTTCTAATAAATTCGCTTGATTTCTCTACCTAGAAGGCATTGAATAAATGGTGATTGATCTCTCAACATTGATAAATGCTCATCTATCTATCCTTTTCTTTTTTTTGCTAATTCACATATCCCTCCACATTTTATTCATAATGTTCAATAATTGGTTATTAAATTTCACCAATAAAATTCGACAGAAAGAACAAAAAACAATAAAGAAGAAATTGCACATATATTCCATATTGATTATTAAACAACAATATATAAAATGAATGAAAATTCTTCATCAATTGATTTAAATACATTATGGGTTGAATATAAAAATCCTAATGGACGTGTAAGTAATGAAAATAAGTTTTGATTTCGAAATAAATTCTATTTTAGATTTATTTTTATAATGCAAAAACTCGTCAATCAACATGGACAAAACCAGAAGGACAACGTGTTATATCACAAGAAGAACTTGATCAATTACTTGCTAATCAAACAGAAACATCAACAAAAATTGTTTCACCAAATGCAAATGAACCCATCGATAATCAAACTGAAATAATCGAAAAAACTGTTCAATCACCAAATGAAAATCCATCGTCAAATTATAATCCATATTCATATCCACCACCGTCATTAGGAATGCCATTTGGAGCATTTCCACCACATTTAATGCCACATATGGCACAAATGATGCAGAATGGTGATTATTAGATTTATAAAACTAGAAGAGACATTTCAATTTTCTTATATTTAGGTTTTCCAAGTTTTAGTTCAGTTCCACCACCTGCTCATTTACTTCGTTTTATGATGCCACCTTTTCTAAATGCTCAAGGAATTGCTGCTGGAGGAAAAAGTTTAGAAACACTTGAAACAGAATTACGAAAAGTTAGAATTTTTTCTAAAAAAGTAATTTTTTAACTATAATAATATTTTTTCGTTTTAGTTACGAGTACAATTAAAAGAACTTGAAGAAAAAATGGAAAAAGCTAATAATGAAGTAACTACTTGGTCAGAATTCAAAAATCCTGAAGGACGACCATATTTTTATAATTCGAAAACAACAGAATCTACATGGGATAAACCTATTGTATTCAGTGATGTTATTGGTATAACAAATAACTAATTTTGTTTTTTTCATAAAATTACATTTCTTTTTTTCCCCAGATATACAAAATCAACTTGAACATATAAATAAAACAATTCATGAGTCAGAAAAAGAAGCAAAACGACTCGAAGCTGAACAAACTCTATTATCAGCAGCAACAGCAACAACAACAACAACAAATTCTAGTGATAAACAACAAACTGTTCCAGCACCTGCTTTTATTAGTGGTTTTACAGTAGAAAAAATGGATAATAATGATGTTCGACGTTTTGTAAGTATTGAATAAAATACATGATTTGCTCGATGTCGTCAATACGATCAGATGTTTTCCTAGTCATTGGTCTCAAGAGTTTTCTTTGTCTATTTGTAAGATGATGAAAACATAGTAATATGAATAAATTTTGATTATGACTCTATATATCTCCAGAGAATTCTAGCTATGACTGTCTTTTTGAATCATGAGTGGGAATATATTAGTTGTCAGAAAAATATTATAGTTCACAGTTCAACAACAATAATAATGAAGAATTCTTATCGATCAGATATAAAATAGAAATCTGAATTAGTCAATAGTTATTTCGTTTATTTGTACAATAAATATCTACTTATTTAATATTGATTTTCTAGGGTGAAACATTAGATCGTAATCTAAATGATGATAAATCCAAAGGTAAATCTAGACCAAGTTCAACTAAACCTATACCTGGCACTCCATGGTAAATCTAATATTAAAATTTTTGGTAAATTTATTATTCATTTATTTTCTTAGGTGTATTGTATGGACAAATGATCAACAGGTATTTTTCTTTAATCCGACATCACGTACATCACTTTGGGATAGACCAGAAGAATTAAAAGGTTTTATTTAAATCTTTTTTTGTATATTTATTGATTGTTTTTTCTTTATTGTATAGGTCGTTCGGATGTTGATGAGATGATTCGTGCAGCAATGCCACAACAAGAATCTACAGATAATAATCGAACAATAGCAACAAAACAAAAATTAGATTCAATTTCCGATGATATTGAACCTGACGCAAAAAAAATCAAGTATATTCGATTTAAAATTGAATTTTTCAATTGATTTTTTTTTCTTTCTATTCAGATCAGATTCAATTCCTATTATCAATAGTTTAAACAACAATGAAAATATTGATAATGAAATAAAATTAATTCAAAATATGAACGAACGCTCAATTAATAATAATAATATCAATACAAAAGAATCTCCTTATGATGCTGAATCGAAAGCAGCTAAACAGAGAGAATTAATTCCATATGAAACACGTATTAAACAATTTCGTGAAATGCTTGCTGAGAAACAAGTAAATTAAATAAATAAAAGAATTTATTTTATTTCATATATGTATAGGTTAGTGCATTTGCAACATGGGAACAAGAATTAAATAAAATTAATTGTGATGCACGTTATTTATTATTGACAGCTAAAGAACGTAAACAAGAATTTGATCGTTACACACATGGTTAGAATAAAACGAATTTTTTTTTCTATTTAAAAATATATATTTTAGAACGAGCTGATGAAGAACGACGAGAAAAAGAAGCTAAAATTAAATTAAAAAAGAAAAAATTTCATGATCTAATAAAAGAATCCAATGTATCAGTGAAGTAATTCATTATAATAGACACAAAATAATAAACAATATTAATAAATATATATTTATTTAGAACAACCTATAATGAATTTTCATCAAGACACAGTAAGGACGAACGGTTTCGAGCAGTTGAAAAAATACGTGATCGTGAAGCATGGTTTCATGAATATGTGCAAGAATTAAAAACACAAGAAAAAGATGGATCAAATAAACATACGATCAAAGAAAAAGTAAGAATATTCTTCGTTCGATAATTTAAATACATTTGTATTGTTATCAATATTAATTTAGTACTGATAAGAATCTAATATTGAGTATTTTATGTATAGTTGTATAAAAAATGTAGTTGATAATTATTAGAGAGTGTCGAATGCATAGAGTTATATAGAATTCTAGCTATTCATAGTTTTTCTTGGTATACTTCGTACTAAACAGAACTTCCATTTTCCGAGTTGACCATTGCGATAATGAAAAGAAAAGAGTTCATCGAAAACTGACCTGTTGGCAGTAGAGCCCGTCGGTCCGGGTCCGGATCGAAAGAAATATGTTATCAACATGGTATTTTTTATTCATTTCATTCAAAAGTCTTGAATTTATTTATAGAAATAATAGAAAAAACAACTATCAGATTTCAAGTAGAAAAATTTACTGAGAGCTCTAAAGGTACAGTTCGAGTTCAGACCAGTGCTCATCAGGATCAAGTCCGGGTCCAAAACAATGTAGACCCGACGAATTCTAGTCCACAGAAACTTGGATCGTGCGAATTCCTTGGGAAATAAAGCATGAAGTGAGAATCAGTAATCTAAACACGGTATCTTGATGTATATGAAGACATGTAATTGTTGACCGGAAAATGTTTTTTATTAATTTTAATAGAATTTTATGTGATTATGGTTAAATTGTTAGACCAATTCAGAATATATATTTATTTTGATCTTTTTTAGTTGAAGAAAGATTATTTCTCGTTATTAAAAGAATTAAAAGTTGCCCAAGATTCATCTTGGTCTGATATAAAACGTTCCGGTGAACATGATCAACGTTATAAAGCTATTGAATCAAGTTCGAGACGTGAAGATTGGTTTCGTGAATATCAAACAAAACATATTGATGGAATAACAAATTCATCAAATGATGTATAAAAAAACATTTTCAATTTTTTATTGAATGTTTTTTTTTTCGTATTATATATTTAGGCAACAAATGAAGAAGATCTTGAACGACAACGTGAAAAAGAAAAACAAGAACGTATTGATGCTAGTATAAAAAAACGTGCTGAAGAAGTTAAAGAACAATTATCTGGTTTTCAACGTGAATTAGATAAAGAACGTGAACAATTAAAAAAAGATAAAGCTATTGAAAATTTCAAAGCATTATTAACCGATATGGTACGAACAGCTGATGCTGAATGGAAAGATACAAAAAAAGCTTTACGAAAAGATCCACGATGGAATCAAGATATTGATCGTGATGAAAAAGAAAGTTTATTTGAAGAACATGTTAATTTATTAGAAAAAAAACGTAAAATGGCATTTCATTCATTATTAAGTGAACATTGTACATTATCATCAACATGGAAAGAAGTTAAAAAAAATATTAAAACGGATGTACGTTTCGAAAAAATCTTTTCAAATGATCATAAACGTGATTTAGAAAGAGAATTTGAATTATATATGAAATATAAATATGATACAGCAAAAAAAGAATTTAAAGAATTGTTAAAAGAAACAAAAATTATTACACATAAGTATGTAGAATAATTTAATAAAAACGAAATCTTTAAATTTATTTATGTTTAGATCACTTAGAATGATAAGAGAATCAGAAGAACAAAATCATTTACGTGATATTGAAAAAATTCTACAAAAAGATAAACGTTATCTATTATTAGATGTTATACCAGAAGAACGTTCAAGAATTTTAATGAATTATATTGAAGATCTTCAAGAACAAGGTGAACCACCACCACCAACAGCTTCACTTGATCGACGAAAACTTTGAAAAAAAATTTTGTTTTCATCTTGTTATTGTTGTTTTACTTTGTAATATTTTGTTTTCGTTTTTTCGACAGAGCAATATCTGTATGTCTCTTTGTCAAACATAAGAGTGGTCAATCAAATTAAACATAATTGACTAAGATTTGCAATGATTTATCTGTAAACAAAAATTAAACTAATCTTCAAGAATTAAACACTTGAAATTATATTCTCTTATTTACGGTATAAGATCTCGTGGCGTAACCAGAAATCATCGGATGAGTGGGCACCGCCATACCGGTTTTCAAAAAGCTAGTGCAGCATGTTTGTTTTGTCGTATAACTAGGCATGTAACCGAACCCAAACTTAGTTCGGGTTCGGGTTCGGTACATGCCTATGTATAACAAATATGCATTAGTTTATTTATTAAGCGTAGAAAAATATCTAAAGATCACAAGCCTATCATTCTATTACTAAAACACATCAATCATATAATCGATTATCTGACATTGTATAGCATTTAGTTTTTTTTACTAATAGGATTTTCTGAAAATTCTTTCACATGTGGTCGATGAGACATTTGTAGAAATAGTAAGAGATGTTATTGTTTGTTTCGACCATAATAATTGCCGTATAGAGTTTAAACAAACTATGCTTTATTAATAGTACTTTTATAGTAGAATAACTATTTACATTGTACTATACAAATCATTATTTCAAAGTTTTTATTTAGATTTCCATGTTAAAATCAATTGTAAATTACATATATGTATTCATTTCTCATATTTGTTTGATATGATCAACCTTGATTGAAGCAATTAGTAGAATGTTATTTGACTACAGGAAATTATCATATGACATATGTCGACAACGATAAAAAACAGAAAAGATCATACTATTGACTAATTAATTATTGTCATATCCTTGAGGATTGAATTTCGATCCTCTCATGATTATTCTAATTAGTATCGAATTTATTTCTATAAATATCATTCGGTCAAATATATATAAAGGTTAAAAAGGTCAATGATTTTTCATAATCATGTCGACAAAACTTTTTTTGTAATCGAGTAATTAATGAGAAAAACCTAAGATATCCGAAACCATTTAAAAAATCATAATCAAAGAAAAACACATGTAAATATAAATATAAATATAACATCGAATAAGATATGTTTTTTTTGTTAATTAATAATTGTGTTCGACTATATGAAGATTTTTTTTAGCTTCATTGCTTATATTCTTTCCATCATATTCTCCTCTCGAAGCCGAAGAATTTGCTATAGCTCGTTTAAGAAAACTATGTTGTGCATTTGATTCATTCTCTCGTTTTCCACCCCATGCCTTCAATGCTAAATACAACGACAATTAGTATTCAAGTATGAAAGAAAGAAAGAAGTCAAACCTGATGCTTGTAATGCTCGTCCAAAGCTAAATGTTAATACCCAAGGACATTTTTGTTGATAGATTAATTTATTCATTTCATTTAAATTCATCGTTGCATCTTCTTCAGATTGACCACCACTAAGAAAAACCTATTCAAAGAATTTCATTATTTATTCTTCTATATAAACATACAATTCCAGCTAAAGCTGCTGGACATGTTCGAGATAATGTTGTAATTGTAGCAAGTGCTTAAAATATATAAGTATAACAAAGACAAACCTTGAGTGTTATTTTTACCAATATCTGATGATTTAACTTTTTTCTTTGCTTCATGTCCTGGCGTAATCATATTCTATAAAATCATCTACATAAATAAAATACAAAAACATTGACTTACTGGTTTAAGTAAACATCCTTCGAGATAAACATTATAATCCGATAAAGCTGTAAATGCAGCTGCAAGAACTTTTTCTGTTACATATTGACACGTATATATATCATGATCTCCATCAGGTATTACTTCAGGTTCAATAATAGGGACTAAACCTAAAATAGAAAATTTATTTAATTATTGATAAACAAAAAAAAACAGAATACCTTTTGCTTGACAAATGGATGCATATCGAGCTAGAATAATAGCATTATTTAAAATAGCTACTTGAGTTGGTTGATTTTTTGTTTGATTAATACGTAATACACAACGCCATTTAGCAAATCGAGCACCACGAGTGAAACTTAATAATCCTAATGATACTTTTTGTATAAATCAATTGAACTTACAAATCTTCACAACGTTTTTCTAAATCATCAAAACCTAACGTTATTGTTTCATTTGTATTTATTGTTAATGATTCTAAACCCTGCATATATTTATATAAGAATAACAATATAATTATTATTCTATAGAATTACTCGATCAAGTTTAATACCAGGTAGAATACCACTTTGAGTAAGCATCATAGGAAATGATATTGAACTATCATTACTTTGATTAAATGTTTCTTCATGCATAATAATTCCGCTAATATATTGTTGAATATTAGGTGTAGTAAAAAGGATTTGTCGATAGATACGACGTTGTTCAGCTGTATTTTCTACACCAATTGATTGAAAACGTTTAACTATAGACGATGGACTTTCATCAGCAGCTAATATACCTTTACCTTGTTGAACAATAAATTCAGCATTTTTTTTTAACATTGATTCATTCGAATTATTATGTATCATATTCGTTTTGTAAATAATAATAAATTCGCTTTATATAGAACCCGCTAATTTTGAAATTTCTATTTTTTTTCCTATTGAATGCACATTTTAACATTCTGTATATATTTTCTAAATAGAATTAATATCATTCTTTATGAATTATTCATGTCAAGAATTAGTATCAAGATTAAAAAATAATATGGATTCATTTATTACCATGTGTCTATTCTTATCATAGATAATATTAGAATCTATCCTAGAATATTTTCACACATGTTTTCTAAGAAAACAATAACATAGATATGTTATGTCATAACATAATAAACTAATTTATTTTTAAACACCACAAGAAAAGAAATGCGCCATTTCATATTAGAATAAGAGGTCGATTTACATTTTATTATCATAAATAAATATATATATATTAAGCAAAAATAAGTTGAATTAGAAAATCGTTTAGAATAATCTATTTGACAACAAATATGACTTGAGAATATATGATAAAATTCTTCAATGAATAAATCTTAATTATGTTATAGTAATTTTTTATGATAAATTACTCATTATTGTTTATAGAAATAACATTATGATTAGAATTGTACGCATTGTTTACATATGTGATTAGTTATTTTATGATAGTATAGATACCCTTCGGAATGAAAATCGAATAAGAACATCATGCAAAACAAAACCGGAAAGAAGAAGAATGATTCTATCGTGATCTATCTATTTAATTTTAAATAATCTGCTTATATATGATTATATTTATTTTTATTTTTATCGACAACTATATACTAATCATAACTAAATAAATTGAATGATGATGATATATAGATACTAGTACTACTACTTTTTTTTAACTAGAATATTTAGTATTTAATGATTGATGACAGACATAAGATACTTGAGAAAATTTGATTAATAATTGTTGAAATGTTGATGATAGTACTGTTTATTATTTTTTATTAGGTCAAAGTAACTTTATCAATTAATAATCTTCGAATTAAGAAATGATCTTTTTTTTTGCATTCGAGATTTTAAGATAGGGAAGATAATAATCAAATTTTATAAGATGTAAAAAGACAACATGTGTAAGAATTATATATATATGTATGTTGCCTTATATCAAGTGCATTAATCATAATCAATAGCATTAGTATTGTTGTAAGAATCGAAAAGATGAGGAAGGAGAAGAGAAGAAAGGAAAAAAAACTAAGCAAAGTATACTAAAAACGCTTTTCTTCTTTTTTTCTACTATTATTTTCTTTCTATTTCAGTTCTTCTCATCTAACTCTAACTCTATTTCTCTTTCTTCTTCATTAAACTACAAGATATAATGTAGTATATGATGTCGAATCAGGCATATGATATGACAAAACGAGAAAAAAGAAACAAGAAATTTAGAAAAGAAAGTATCTAAAAGCATTTATGATTGTAACTCATAGCTATTTCTCTATTTTTTCTCTCTCTGTCTCTCTCTCTCGCTTCCCTTCCCTTCCCTTCCTTTTATCATATTGACGTCTTCGCTAGTTTATTGGTGACACGTAAAGTAACAGAAAAACTAGTAAAAATAGTACTGATGACAAAGGCGACGAAACCAACAAATCTATAGATAGATATACATATATATATAATAAAAGAGCGGGGAAAAAAAAGTCAAGTATTCTTAACTTAATGGGTAATACAAATAGTGGTAGTAATGCTCCTCCATCTCCATCCCGTTGGCCAACAGGTGGACAAGATTCAACATCAAAACAAATTCATATACGTACAGATCAAGCTGATGGATTTTATTTTACTGGTGAACAATTAACTGGTACAGTTGAAATTCCACTTTTCTATTTTCAACAATATTTAAATAATAAAAATAATCGAAAACCAACTGAATTAATACTTCAACAAATAATATCTAATGATATTATTATAGAACTTGTTGGAGATGCAACATATTCAGCTGAAGTTGACGCGGCTGCTGATAGTGATGGACACTCCAAACATCAAGTTAATGTTTGTCGACAACGTTGTTTCGTGATACTTAATCAAGATAATGATAAACAATCTATACAAAATAATAATCAAGCTGAAACATCATTTGATCAAACAACAGCACAAACATTAGATACACAAACTGTACCATTACCAACAACAATTAAAGGAATATTTCAATTACAAATACCAGATGCTCTACCACCATCCTTATACAATAATCGACCACCATCAGTTATTTATACTCTGGAATTAAATCTATCATCAAGTCGTTATCGTTTTCAAATACCTATTATACTTAGTTCAAAAGGTTGTATACCACATCCAACAATTGATATTGAATTAAATAATAATGCTACTAATCAACATAATATTCATTTACAAGCTTCATTAATAAAAACATTTTATCGACCTGGTGAACAAATACCTGTTCGATTAAGTTATACAAATCCTCAACAACGTTTAATACGTTCAATAACAGTTACACTTATACAATTTTATCGTATACATAATGATCAATATCGTTTACAATTAGATGGTAAAGAATGGACATTTGATATATCAACAATGTTACCACAACGAGAATGGTTAGGTGAAACTCTTTTACAATTACCATATCAACCATTACAAGCATCATTTTCAAATCAATCTGTTGGTACAACACAACGAATTGAATGTGAATTAGATTATAGAATATTTATTGAACTTAATGAAAAAAAAGGTGACGATATTCATCTTGTATTACCATCGATTAATGTAACATATCAAAAATGACATTTAAAAAAAACACAAAACTTATTGTCTTACTGATATATTTAAATGTATAAACATTATTTATTCTTTTGTTTATGTCATACACACACACACATACACACACACAAAAATTGAATTGTAAAACTCATCTATCATAATAAATCATATCTATAAATAACTTTAAAAATTTTTATTTCTTCTTTTGTACTTATAATCATAATCTTAATTAAAAATGCATGTTTTATCGATTTTACATAATATGAAGCAAGAAAACTAGTATATGTCTTTGTGACACTTTCTTTTTTACACCTGTATAAGAGAGTGTGCTGCAAGAGTCTCATTGATTTTTCTTTTCTCTCTC